TCTATATCACCCACATACTTGTTTGTGCTATATTTCACATTATAGCTAGCTGACATTTCTTTGTATTTATATGAATTACAAAGTGTTTTTCAAATGAGAAGTTGTATTAAAATACTGCAAATGAGAAAAAAACTAACAAATAAATAAAGGATTAGAAAAGAAGAGGGTACCTGGTATTTAATCTCCAATAGTTTAGTTTAGTTTACTTTATTGTCGTTGCACCTCATACAACGAAATCAGACACCATCTTCAGTGCACATCATGACCATGACCATGAAAATAAACACAAACACACATCCTTCACCCTCCACACATTGAACTGAAACCCCCGACACTGCACCAACACTGCACTATACAGTAGAATTCAAAAGAGATACTGCCCTAGGATAGAAGCTGTTTTTCAGCCTATTTGTCCTTGTTTTTATTATTCTGTACCATCTGCCAGATGGTAATAGTTCAGAAAAAGAGTTCCCAGGATGAGATGGATCTTTGAGTCTGTTTTGAATTTTCTTAAGGCAGCGGGAGCTATAAAGCTCTTCCAAAGAGGGGAGAGGGCAACCAATGATCTTTTTGGCAATGACATTAATCCTATCTGCCACTGTGCAATTGGCAAACCATACAGAGGTGCAGTATGTTAAGATACTCTCTATGGCGTAGTGGTAGAAGATCACCACCAGTTTTTCATTCAATTGTTGTTTTCTGAAAAGTGCAGGTAGGATAATCTCTGCTGGGCCCTTTTGACCAGTGCTGCAATGTGAGCACCCCAGGTCAGGTCCTCTTTTATGGTAACACCCAGAAACTTAAAACTGGCCACTTGCTCCACTCAGTCTCCATTAATAAGCAAGGGCTGGATGTCTGATCTGCTCCTTCTATAGTCACTATAAGATCCTTGGTCTTATTGGTGTTGAGGACCACATTATTGTCTCCACACCATGAAAGCAATCGGTCCACTTCATCTTGGTAGGCAGACTCATCCCCCCCCCCCCCCCGGAGATGAGTCCCACCACTGTTGTATCATCTGCAAATTTAGTAATAATATTACTAGCGTGAGTGGGAATGCAATCATGCACATAAGGAGTATGGAGTAAGGGACTCAGCACGCAACCCTGTGGTGTGCCAATGTAGTTTATATATTGATAAAAACAATATATATTTTTCTTTTAGTGCTTAACTTTTGCTGATCATAACCTTAGCTTTTTATATCTTAGAGAAAATATTTAGGGCTGGGTGTTTAAGAAAGCCTTGGGCTCAGATTCATGGGGACCCAATCATGTTTAACTGAAATAGTTGCTCTGCTGAAGTCTCTTATTAAATTCAAAAACAAGAGCACAGCTATAGGAATGTAGCAAAGAATGCTCTGCAGGCCCTTCTGAGTGTTTTGCAAATATTTGATTTTTTTTTTAAAAAAATGCTTATTTATGTGCAATCAGAGCACTTGCAAAGATTTCACTTATATTGCAGCAAGGAATTAAAACAGGTCCAAACAGAACAAATCTATCCCAATAGTGCCAACTTTATTTCAGTATGTCTTTTGTTTGTGTCCTATGGCTCTTTAGGGTTTCAAACAGAATTGTTCACTATCCCTCCAGGAAATGTCAGTCATTACATCTGAAATATTTTGCATAAAAGGATTGTCCTACCACTATCTCTGATCCTGTTTTTATCACCAAAAATATGATTGATATATGTTTCCCCTAAGGAGCAAACACTTGCATTAGTTATACCAATATAGGGCTTTGAGGCTAAATAGAATTGACATATTGCTTAAAGAACACACACACACACACACACACACACACACACACACACACACCAATGTAATGAGATTAACATACAGTATTTTATAAGCAACAATCTCCTACAATGTATTCAACTCTTCAATAATATACTCTGAAGATACAATCTAAATTTTAAAGTGGCAAAAGAAGAACAAAATCATTCAACAGTTCAACATCCAGAGTCGTTTGATAGTGAGATGGGTGGCATATAAATTTAATAAATAAAGATAAAGTGAATACACAAAAACACATATTACAAATATATCAGTATAATTTGAATATATGGCTTCAATTGTTATCTCATAATAAATACAACTGAATTTTTACACATATTTTTTTCCAGCAGTGACCACAATATGATTGACTTTTGTCTCAACATACATCCACACAAAAACCACCACAATGATGTGATCCCCAATTATAATTTCAAAAAAGGCAACTATGATCTTATAAACAACGATCTCTCATCCCTTGATTGGCAATCTCTATTCACTGGATGCAATACTGTTGAAGACCATTACAACATATTTTTACTTGAAGTCAAAAGAGTCATCAAGCTATATGTACCAACAACAACTCCCAAAACAAAACAAAAAAACAGATTGCCCATAACAATAAGGAAACTTCAATCCAAAAAGAGATCACTCTGGCGGAAAAACAAATCTGGTCACGTTGCCAATTTCAAAAGCCGATACAAAAATTTATGCCACCAAATAAAGACCGAATGCACCAATTATCACATCAAACAAGAGGAAAACCTTCTAAGCACCAATTCCACCAGTGCTTTTTACAATTTTGTAAACAACAAACTAAAAGATTCAAGGTCCATCCCACCCCTGATAGGACCTAATGGTAAAGACTGCAACGACGACACCATTAAAGCCAACATCTTTAACACATTTTTTGGCTCAGTATTTGTAAACAGCAATGGATCATGCCCAGTATTTCCTAGCCGAACCACAGATAACTACAATGATCTAATACATATCGATTTTACAGAAGACAATGTTGAAAAAGCACTACGCAATCTAAAACCATCTCTATCTATTGGACCAGATGGAATATGTGCCTATTTCTTAAAAAAGTTATCCACTGCCATAGCCAAACCTCTAAGCATAATCTTTGAAAAATCTTTCAGGACCAGTTCCTTGCCTAACCTATGGTCACAAGCCACAGTCATCCCCATCTTCAAAAAGGGAGACCCTTGCCTAGTTGAAAATTACAGACCAATCTCCTTATGCTGCGTCACCTGTAAAGTCATGGAATCAATTATTAATCAATCCATCATCCTCCACTTAGAGACAAACAACCTACTCGCCAATAAACAATTTGGTTTCAGAAAAAAACTATCCTGTAATCTGCAACTCTTACACTGCAAAAACATATGGACTACACAACTTGATCAGGGCAAAACAATAGATGCAATCTACATAGACTTCTGTAAAGCCTTTGATTCAGTGGTACATGACAAACTACTACTAAAAATAAAATCCTATGGTATCTCTGGACAACTGCATAACTGGATAGAAGCATTCCTGTCAAACAGACAACAAATGGTCAAAATTGGGAGCGTCCTATCAAATTCTGTACCTGTCAATAGTGGTGTCCCCCAAGGCAGTGTTCTAGGACCAACTCTCTTCATACTCTACATAAATGACCTCTGTGATCATATTAAGAGCAACTGCGTTCTTTTCGCTGATGATGTAAAGCTGTTCAATACCACAGACAATACTGCTACCCTTCAAAAAGATCTTGACTGTGTATCAGAATGGTCAAACAAATGGCAACTTCAAATCTCAACAAATAAATGCTCTGTCTTACATATTGGCAAAAAAAATCCGAAAATAAAATACAAGCTGAATAGTCAAGATCTTGTTGATGATCCAAGCTCTGTAAAGGACCTTGGAATACTCACCTCTAATGATCTAAGTGCTAGAGCCCACTGCAACTACATAGCCAAAAAGGCATTAAGAGTTGTTAACCTAATCTTACGTAGCTTTTTCTCTGGTAATATCACACTACTAACTAGAGCATACAAAACATTTGCTAGACCAATACTCGAATACAGCTCATCAGTCTGGAACCCACATTACGTATCTGATATTAGCACAATTGAGAAAGTCCAGAAATATTTCACAAGAGTTCTCCACTCCTCTACTCGTTGTAGAATACCTTATGCCACCAGACTTGAAATTCTAGAACTAGAAAACCTTGAATTATGCCGTCTTCGGTCTGATTTAAGCATGGTATATAAAATCATACATTGCAATGTCCTACCTGTCAATGAATACTTCAGCTTCAACCATAACAACACAAGAGCACACAACAGATACAAACTCAAGGTTAACCGCACCAAGCTTGATTGCAGGAAATACGACTTCAGCAACAGAGTGGTCAATGTCTGGAATACTCTACCCAACTCTATAGTTTCTTCGCCAAACCCCAAAAACTTTAACCTTAGACTGTCTACTATTGACCTCACCCCTTTCCTAAGAGGTCTGTAGGGGGCGTGCATAAGCGCACCAACGTGCCTACCGTCCCTGTCCTATTGTTTCTTTTATTTTTCTTTTATTTTTCTTATATGTACCCATTTCATGTATTCATAACTATGTATACACTTATACTTATTATCTTGTAAACAATTGACAAATAAATAAATAAATAAATAAATCATTTAATATGTTTGCTTACAAAAGTTCACTATTAAAACAATTATTTTTAAAACATTGTTTATTGTTAAAAATTCAATAGAAGATAAATAAAATGAAATGAAGTCCCCACCCCAACCTTCAATGACTATTATATGGATTTTTTTTTTTATAGATAAAATAAAAAAGGTTGGGGAAAAAATTGTACATTTTCCCTTCTCTTCCATTTGTGGTTGTGTTACCATCTACTAAAGCACAGTTTAAGTATTTGATATTTAGTAATTACTAATACTACAGCAAATAGCCATAACACTTAGACTTATATATCATCCCATAGATCTTTATAGCACTCTCTGGCCAATTCAATGTCCTACTTCTATGGATATATATTGTCAATGTTGCTACCATAGCATACTCTCCTATTTTAGTATCTGAGATTGATATCATGAGCAATGATTTCCTGGTCTTACTGCTATCAACACATATCTTACTAAATTATTATTTTAAACTGATGTTGTCCAATAAAAATATCTTCAATTTCAATTCAAAATTTATTTTTAAACCTTTTAAAAAGAATTTGGTATATTTCTTTCCTTTTGATTTCTTTGTTTTTATTTTTTGCACATCACATGTGCTAAAAAGGTCCTTTTATTGAGATGGTATCTCCAACATTTTTTTTGTTAGATGCTTCATCTGACTTGATGGCATTACATACAATTTGTACAATACTTTATACCAGTTTCCCTTAAATTACAACTTGAAATGAACTAATTGATTTTTTTTCTTCATAATTATTTCCATGTATCCATTGCACTTACTTCTTCCAAATTTTGCATCCATTTTACCATGCAGTTTTAATTTCTTCCATCTCTGGGTCATAATTCCGGTACAGTTTGTTAATACATCCTAATAATTGATTTTGGTTTTCTATATGCATATCAAAATCTGTCTTCTTTCTCAAAGTCCTTCTTCTTTTAGATTAATTTGAATGGCATTAAAACCAACAGAGAAGTTTGCTTGCACAGGCAGTATTGTGCTGTCATAGCATACATGAAATGTACTTGATTGTCTTTCAGTTCTAGTACTCATTTACCATTACTAAGGAAAACAAAAGGTTTTGTTGGTTTGCATATATATTCCTGACATAGACATATTCACTTATTTATTCGTGGTTGGACAGCTTTCTTCCAGAATGGGAATGATTACTGTCCATGAAATATATTCTCCAGAGCCTCAAACAATTTTGAGTATAATCAACGCTCTGCAAAACAAAGGAGTCATTTTGCACTAGGCGCATATATTTCTTGTGCCGTGAATACTTAGCATACTATGAGGCCATTATTTTTTCTCTATATTTTTCCTGTCTTATCATGCAACAGACAAATGTGTCCAGTGTTTTCAGTGGCATAATAGAGCATCTGCCTCTATATACTCAAAGTGCCAGATAGCATGACTAGACAGTCAATATATACTGCAGGCACATTTATTATATCATTGGTTATTGACTGAAATAAAGGTTTATTATATGTAGAACAAGCAGTGACACATAAGAATACAGAATAAATGTATGAAGGATTTTAGCCACATGTTTTACAATTCAAACACAAGGAGATTCTTTTACTGAGGCATTTCTCATAAATAGCATTTATATAAAGAATACATTATTAACACATGATTTGTGAACCTTAGGATAAAGGCAGCAGTGTTCATTGAGCCATTCATTTTGTTTGGAAGGGTTACATTTTAAAGTGTGTTTTTACCACTTAGCAAACTCATAGCTGCTATCACATCGAATGCCATGGCTATTGGGCATTCCCTATTCAAAGAAAAATTAAACCAAGCTGTTTTGCTGAAAAGGAATAAAGCTCCTGTCTGCTGAATTAAACAAAAAAGTACAAGCTAGTATATAGCTACTATAGATAGTCCTCATTGAACAATTGCATTGTTTAGCAACTATTCACAGCAACAACGGTACTGGAAAAGTAACTTTATGAACAATCTTATTGTTTATGACCTTTGCAGACCTGTAAAACATATTAAAGGTGAAATAAGATCATAAGCACACTCGTGTTTTTACTTAGGAATCACTTTACTTAACAGATGAGTTGTCATTCCCAAGTGTGGTCACTAAATAAGTATTGTACAATAGATACTGATTAAATGACTTTTACTCCCCCACCCAGTAGAATTATTTTCATTTTTACCATGAAGTTTGCAATATAAAATATTGCTACTCCTTGGCTTATGACCACAACTGGGATCTGTTGCTAAGTGAGTTGTGCCTGATTTTATAATCTTTTTTGCTACAATGGTTAAGCAAATCACATAGTCCTTAAGTGAATTTGGCTTCCCTCTTTGGCTTTGATTGTCAGGGAAGATCGTAAATGATGATCACATGACTTTTAATAATAATAATAATAATAATAATAATAATAATAATAATAATAATAATAATATCATGCCAGTTGTCAACTCTCAGAATTTTGATGACTTGACTGCAAAACGATTGTGATGGTTGGGTGAGGAGTAGTTGTAAGTCATTTCTTATAGAAGTGTCATAACTTCAAACAGTTACTAAAGAAACTAATATGTCTCTAGTGTAAATGCTATTAAAATAGTTCAACATACTTATATGTAAGCATGCCAAAAATATGGAAGTCATGTTTGGTATGCTTTGATAAGAAATATAGAAATAACTTCGATAGTTAGCAGAAAATAAATCTAATAAATAAATATTTAGCTTAAGAATAAAAGTAAGAACATCTATGATTATTATAGATCTAACTTGTTTCCACCGGTGAGACTTTATAGCAATCAAATAGCAAGACAATTCTTCAAAGAACTGTGGAATAGAAAAATGGGTAGGATTCTTCATAGTATTGCCAAAAGCTACTGATCCAGTAGGGTTCCTTGATTCCTAAAGAAACCCAGGAAATGAAATGAAAAGTAATATGGAACAATTCTGATAAAATGTAGGAAGATCATTGTACACCAGTATAAATTCAACTTTAGATCAATATTGTGGTGTAAGAATGACAAAGGATTAATACCCAAGTGTTTTGATATCTCAGGAGGTGCCACAAAGAAGAAGGAGTCAAGATATTCTCTAAAGCACTTGAGGGCAAGACAAGAAGCAATGGATGGAAACTAATCAAGGAGAGAAACAACCTAGAATAAGGAGAAATTTCTTGATGGTTAGAAAAATTAATCAGTGGAACAACCTGCCTCCAGAATGTGAATGTTCCAACACTGGAAGTTTTTAAGAAGAGATTTGGCTGAAATATTATAGGGTTTCCTGCCTAAGCTTTTCCTGAGAGTTGGACTAGAAGACTTCTAAAAATCCCTTCTAACTCTGTGATTCTATTCTATTCTATCCACTGTTAATGCATCCTTAAAGAGCCCGCCAATTAGGTGATCTGGGTGCTTTTGAAAGCTGGAATCCTAGAGGGTCCTCCAGTTGGTCTATATAAGCAGTTTGCTATGCATGTTGGAAAAAAAAATCATTCATACTTTTTTTCTGAGTTATACAATGGTTGGGCAGCATCTCAATTCATAAAACCACAGGGAAAACACCTAAACTTTAATCTTCCTATAGCCATTGACCAGAGATCCAATATAGTAAAAAACAAATTGTTTTAAAACAGTCTTCACAAAGGAGACCATATGGATATACTAACAGCATATCCTGAAAACTCTTTAAAAATCAAGTTGACAAAAGCTAAGAAAAAGTAATATTCTGAGGTGTTCAGTCACAACTGACGCATGTTACTATTGCTTCTTCAATAGTAGATTTACTTCAATTTTACTTTAACTTTATATTTTGCTTTTACTTTAACTTTACTCTTTATTTTTACTTTACACTTTGCTTTTACTTTGCTTTTACTTTACTTTACTTTACTTTACTTTACTTTACTTTACTTTACACTGTCCTCCAGAATGGCTGACAAAGAGACCATTAAAACAAGCTCTGGTAAAAGCCAAAATTTAATAAGTAAGAGAATGTGGGTAAAAGCCTCTCCATTTCCCTGGGTGGTCAGTGAAACTTTATGATATGGCTCACCTCATCTTGTAGTTCATATCTCCAGTCTGTCATCTAATTAATACCTTGGCCTTATCCAAACCTAAAATTAGCAGAAATACAAAGGAAAATCTGATATGCTGCACTTTACTTATTACATGGGTCTACCATCTGGAGATAAACTTATCCCCAGTGAAATCAGTCTGGATGGAGCTAGGCTGATTTTTAGTAATTTAAATAAAATTAATTGCCAAATCCTGCTCCTCGGCCTAGGAACATTTGTCTTCAATCTCAACACTGCAATGAGCATATATATGGTTGTCGTAAAGAAAGATCTCAGAAAATCTAACTTTTTTTTTCATAGAATCTAAACTGGAACCTGGTCCTAGACAGATCCCATACAAAACCTGGAACATTGTGCTCCAATAAAATTTTAAATGTTAGTCAGACTATTTTAGGCCACATTGAAAGTCCTGTCTTGTGAAGTCCTGTCTTATGAAGTCATCTGGGACTCTTTCAAGCTTGTAATGCTGAGGAAGTTGACAGGCTCCTTTGTGTATTGTATATTAATTTACTGTCTGAGACCAAATCAACAAATATTAAGGCATATGTGATAGCTTAAAAATCCATAACTATAAATTACATAAGGGCTAGAAACATGTTGCTATCATTATTGGTACACTTTAAAACTGTTCATTTAAAAGGAAAGCAGTTATTTTCTTGTCATGAGGGAAATTAAACTTTATAATTACAATTGTGTATAGAGTGGACATTTTAACAGAACATGAATAGAGCAACCTCTGCATCTGAAAATACACAAAAATATTTTTCATATAAGACATTGAAATATTTTCCAGTTGTTGCCCAGGTTGTCTGTACCACAATTCAGTCCAGAGGAAAAAAGCCTCTTATGCACAGTATTTGTGTACAGTATTTGTGATTTTTATTAAAGCTAGTCCAAAGCAATTCTATTACACTAGAGACAGAATATTTTGGCCCTGTGTGTCTAAATATTTAACTGCTAACCTTCTAAGTTCTACCGACATTTTTTATCAATGTGCCAACTAAGTAAAGCTGATATTGACAGAGTACAATCTACCAGATATGCCTGTGCAGGGTGGATACAAAGCTACCATGCAGGATAAGATAGACCAAGGACCTGCTTTGCCCAAGAACTAAATTAGCATAGAGTTGCCAGGTCCTGAAAAAGATACAGCCCATCTATATTCATTTCAACTCAAGTGAGAAATTCATACTATTATTTTTAAAAACAAGCATAAATGTACCCAAGGACACTAAGATATTTAAGGGGGAAAAGATGGGTATGTTGTTCTGTGGTACTTGGGAGTGTGCCTGAGAATTTGACTTTCTAAAGCTCCTCTGTGATATGAACTTATCTAGCTATAAAATATACTTTTCCTTTCCTGTTGTAGTACAGTTGACCAGAAAAGACACAATAAGATTCTGGACATTTTGTATCTTTGAATGGGTGTTCAATATCAGCATCCTTGAAAAGGATGGGAGGGTGATCCTTGTCATTTTTGAATCCAGCTGACTTAGAACATTATTGTTCAGTCTCCAATCTGGCATTTTTGTGTTGAGGAAGTGGTTCGGCTCAAACTAGGAATTATTTGGAAACTAGATTGTCCCAGTTAGTGACAAAGAGACAAGTTGAATACTCAGAGTTAGTATGGGGCCCCATCAATTGATCCTCTCATCTATTTTATTCAATATTTATATGATGGGATTACACTGTATTGAAGTCCATTACTATCAACATGCTAATTATAGACTTGTTGATATCTGGCCAAAAATGTGATGTGGTAGAAGACTTGACCTAATTCATGGATGTTGCGAAAGTCTGGATTTCTATATTTTATTTCTAATTTCTTCTCATGTTTCTCTGTTTAGAAATATAATGAGTTTGTAAGATGAAAATAATGTTAACTATATTATATTTATAATATTGTAAATTATTGTAAATATAATGTAAACATTAAAAAATCTGTTAAAAAGAAGAAGTCAATTCTCCATTCTCTTTCTCTCTCTAAGTTCTCTCTATTCACCTGTCTGCTTCTCAGGACTGACATCTGAACTGAATAATCAGTTTTTAATAACCAGACTATATTCAAGGTGATAACTAAGGGTTACTTTTTCTAAGATGCACAAGGGATTGAGCAATATTTTGTGATTATATTTTAACAATTTAAAAGCCTGGCATGCATATGACAGTGCTGAACTTTTGTGGGGAACTTTATTTCCTTACACATCTTAAAATTGTGTTTTGACATGATTGTGAACATTTGGTAAATACAGAAGGCTCCAGGGAAGAAAACCCTAGTGTGCAAAAAATCCAACATTATTCTAAATTGAGAAGAATTTTAGAATGTTGAAGAAAACTGAAAGAGATAATGTAGCCAAAACCATATATTTAGGAAAGTAAATAATTTTCCTTACTTTCATCCAAATTCTCTTCCAACAGGATCTATGAAGGAATTTTGTTTTAACCTCTATTGGTATATTGGAGCTTCAGAACTATTTTTCCTTATACAAATATATAATTAAACTAGACATGCTTTTAAAAAAGAAACATTATTTTGATGTTTCTACTTCTACACTATTATATGTGAAAAATTAACCCGATAATGGTATTAGGGTTGTGTGAATAAATGAACGAATGAATGAATGACTCGATAGGGAACTATTTCATCAGTAAAGGTAATATGTGACTGATAAGAATAGAATGATTATGCCTTTTAGGCTAAAATTAAACTGATAGAAGTTTATCTTTTTCCAATTCAGCTTCTTAATGAAAATGAGTAATCAAATGGCTCAGATTTATCTTTTTCTTTCTTTATCTTTATTTCGTTCTCTGCCTTGTTGAGTCTCTTGTGTTCAAAATTGCTCTGTTATATAGTTATTATTTACAATCAACCGCCCTGTGGAATCACTACGAATAAAAAGTTGACAGCATTTTAAAAGAATTACTTATCGCACATAATGTTGAATACAGTTAAAGTCATGAACTTGACAGTTTGTAGACAACAAGCACTCAAGATATCAGAAAGCTATTAAAATTGTTCAAAAGTGTTTCTATCTAGAGTCTATTTGGGTTTCAAGGTGTTTTTGTTGGATCTGCTTTGAAGCTTCAAGATAAGGCTAGCTCTTTTTTGAGTAATGTTACAGTTCAATTTCATTCATTAAAGAAAGCCCAGGATAGGGCACTGGAGAGAGAATCCAATGCTATAAAGAGGCAGGTACATGAACTGGCACTGATCCATAAACCAAAGCTGTTTTTTTAAAAAAATGACGTTTCCATCTTCTCTCTTATATCTTCTCTCTTATAATTCTTTTCAGTTTTCTTCCTCTACACCATATGCTTTGTGTTATGCCTGGTTAAGGTTTTCATAATTCCTTTACAGATTTATGTTTCTCTACCTAACAATGTTATTTTTATTTCCATTATTTTATGGAAAAAGCTTATTTTTATTTCATTTCAGTTAACTGTCTATGGATATTTTCAATCAACAAGGTCTTGGTTGTCTCAAAGGTACTTTTTTCAAAAGGCAACTGAACAAACCCATCAGGGCAAAATTCAGCAGTCCATCTGCAATTAAAAAACAAAGGTAACTATTTTGAAGACAGCAACATTTTGGACAGAGGTTTGGTTTAAAAGAGATGTCAAAGAGGCCATCTATGTCAAAATTGAACAGCCGTCTCTCCATGGTGGTGGGTGGGTGAGTGGGATTTGACATCCTAATAGTCATTTCAACAGTTCCAAGAACGCTCCCCACCCATTTGCATTAGTCAGGTGACTCTGATGACACAGTTAAACCTCCAGATGGCATCAATGACTCTCCAAAAGAATGGAAATGACCAGCTGTTTTCAAGGTGTATAAAACCTTTCATTTCTCCATCACCCAGTCAGAGCTGAAGATACTTCTTGGATGAGAAGTGAAACATCTTCAAAGAAAAACAGGAAAGTCCAGTTGCCTTTTGAAAAAGCACTTTTGGGATATTCCAGCTAACATAAAAATAGACAGTGGCAGCTTTTTCATTATGTCTGTTTTGGAGAATCAAGGTCAAGAAATATTTTCTAGATTTAATATAATATATTCAAAGTATTTGGGAGGAAAGTGAACAAATATGTTAGAATTAATTTTTCTCACTTTGTCACTTTTCCAGTTTTAATATAATTTGCCTTATTACTACATCCATTTGCAAGAAAACCAGAAAAGAATCCTTACATACTTTCTCTGCTCTCTGCCTCTCCATCCCTCCCTCTCTTTCTCCGTCCATTTGTCCCTCCTTCTCTCTCCCTCTTTTTCTTTCTCTCCTGATATTTTTGGATTGTAAGACCTATAATGATTTGGCATCATCCAAGAAGGGTGGAGATTCCAAAATTTTGGATACATCAGGCTTCCAATGTCTTAATATTTATACATCTATACAACATATGTCTTTTTATGGAACTTGTTAAGATTTAGAATGTTAATTCTTCAAATATCTGTTGTTA